AGAGTCAAACTCCATCTCAAAAAATTAAAAAATAATAAATAAATAAAATGAGTACTTCATCACTACAGGAACTTAAAGCCAATTATGTGAAAAATATTTTTGACCTCTGCTGCTGAGAAATGAAAATCTTATAGAAGACATATAAACTATCCTTGTGGGAATATTAACATTTTACCAGAGATAAAATTAGAGTTTCCATTAGAATTCAACTTTGGTAAAATTTGAATACTAAATTATGCCATGTTACCATAAAATTATTTAAGGTTGCTCAAAGGAATGTTACAGAATTTTTGCTCTGTCTGTCACCCAGGCTGGAATGCAATGGCATGATCTCAGCTCACTGCAACCCCTGCTTCCTGGGTTCAAGCGATTCTCCTGCCTCAGCCTCCTGAGTAGCTGGGATTACAGGCACCTACCATCATGCCCGTCTAATTTTTGTATTTTTGTAGACAGGGTTTTACCATGTTGGCCAGACTGGTCTCGAACTCCTGACCTCAAGGTGATCTGCCTGCCTCGGTCTCCCAAAGTGCTGGGATTACAGGCGTGAACCACTGTGCCCAGCCTGAATGCTATGTTTTAAAATATTATAGTTCATTTGGAATTTTGACATAAGTATATTTCCAACATAGGCTGTCCAGAAGATACATCACAATTCATGAACTATTTCACATTATACAGTGAAATCCCAATTTTGTGGTCTATAAACCATGTCACTAGAAACATATCTTAAACAGTCTTAAAACTGTTCTTTAAGGAAAAATAATGCTTGCAGTTCCCTCATTTCATTTACCTGATATATTTTTCTCTACCTCAATAAAACTATAGTGTGAAAAAGAGACAGAATCATCAGTACTGGGCCAAATGACAATAGGAAAGATAGGTTTCTCCATGTGGATTAATCTATACTTGGCATAGCCTTAAACTTTTCCTGCTTATATGGCAATATGATCAAAATTTTAAAATGTGGGCAAATCTTGTAAATCCAGAAATTCTATGTTTAACAACTTATGGCACGAAAATAATCAGAGAAGCAGGCAAGGAAACGAATATAAAGATGCTCATTGTAATGTTGTTTATGATAGTGAAAAACAATGCAACTTAAATGTGCAACACAAGGAATTAGTAAATAATGATAGAGCCACAGTATGGAATACCAAGCAGCCATTAATGATAACCAACTGCATATTCACTGATTAATTAGGTCAAAAAAAAAAAAAGAGAGAGAGAAATAAGTACAGTTGTATGTGAACACATAGAAGAAAGACTAGAATCTACATAAAATACTGATTATCCCTTGTTGGTGGAATTACCAATGATCATTTTTTCTTTTTTCTTATTTGCATGTTCTAATATTTTAATGCAATGAGATAAATTGCTGCCCAAGAATAATAAGGGGAAAGAAAGGAAAAATAAATGTCAATGTGCATCATCTGGGAATTTATAGTATTTCATCACAATAAGTTATGCTTCAAATCTGACTAGAAATTGTTGAGAAAATATTAATTATGTTATAAAAATATGCCACTGCAGAGACAGGAAGTCAACTTGTTTCCCCGTTCCTGTCATCAACTGGAAAGAACCCTTTCTCAATTGCCAACAGATGTTGAGGAATATTTCTGAGTCTGAGTAAACGCACACAATTTTCCTCCTTTCTTTATGCTTTATAGCTTGTATAATTGTTCAGATAAGGTGGAGAATCTATGAGAAAGGGACACATAGTTCTAGGGATTGAAGTGATGCTATCTAGAAACTGAAAGTTTCTTTTCCTTCTATATCACTTAGCCTAGAGGCGAAAAAGCTACACATTCACTTATGCTTTAAAAAAAAAAATTTTTTTTTTGAGACAGGGTCTTGCTCTGTCACCCAGGCTGGAGTGCAGTGGTACAATTATAGCTCACTCTAACCTCGATCAGGCAATCCTCAGCCTTAGCCTCCTGAGTAGGTAAGACTATAGGCCCACATCATCATGGGCAGATAATGCTTTTAAAGAATGCTTTTAATGAAGCATTAATAAGAAAAAGTATATCTAAGAGTTAAGGCTGGGTGCAGTGGCTCAAGCCTGTAATCTCAGCACTCTGTGGAGCCAATGCAGGAAGATGAGTTGAGTCGAGGAATTTGAGATCAGCCTGGACAATGTAGTGAAATCCCCATCTCTACAGAAAAATAAAAAAAATTTAGCCAAGTATAATGACGTCAGCCTACAGTCCCAGCTACTCAGGCAGCTGAGGTGAGAGGATCACTTGAGCCGGGGGGGTTGAGGCTGCAGTGAGTCAAGATAGCACCACTGCACCCTAGCCTGATTGACAAAGCGAGACTGTCAAATAAATAAGCAAATACATAAATAAGCTACACATTTAATGTTTTTTATATTCCCTGAACACCATTTTCATTCCTTTTTTTTTTTTTGAGATGGTGTTTCACTCTTGTCGCCCAGGCTGGAGTGCAATGGTGTGATCTCAGCTCACTGAAACCTCTGTCTCCCAGGTTCAAGCGATTCTCCTGCCTCAGCTTCCCAAGTAGCTGGGATTACAGATGTCCACCATCATGCCCGGTTAATCTTTTTTGTATTTTTGGTAGAGACAAGGTTTCACCATGTTGGACAGGCTGGTCTGGAACTCCTGATGTCAGGTGATCCGCCCACCTCAGCCTCCCAAAAGTGTGGGATTACAGGCATGAGCCACCATGCCCAGACTCATTCCTTATTTATCACTTTTAATAACCCTACGAGATAAGTGTTATTAGTTCTACTTTATAAAGTCTGCTTCAGAGACTAAGTAATTGACATTAGGTCAGTAAGTAGTAGACTCAGGGTTTAATCCCAGATCGGTTGATACATGTATGTATCACTGCTATTTTATCATTGTTATTGCAGACAAAAGTCTTAAAAGGAGAGAATACCTACTAACCAGAAGCAGCAAACAGTTTATTAACAACAATGTAGGGGAAAAAAGTACAGTATTTTGTTCTTTTTGAATACAGTTAGTTAAAACATAAAATAGAAAACTGTGTAAAGACCTAGGTTCAATGCTGATTTAGAATTAAAAACAACTTTAAAAACTCATTAACAGGCCAGGCACGGTGGCTCATTCCTGTAATCCCAGCACTTGGAAGGTTGAGGTGGGCGGATCATTTGAGGTCAGGAGTTCAAGACCAGCCTGGCCAACATGGTGAAATCCCGTCTCTGCTAAAAATACAAAAATTAGCCAGGTGTGGTGGTGGGTGCCTGTAATCCCAGCTACTCCAGAGGGTGAGGCAGGAGAATCACTTGAACCTAGGAGGCGGAGGCTGCAGTGAGGACCACTGCTTTCCATCTAGCCTGGGCAACACAGTGAGACTCTGGAGACTCTGTCTCAAAAAACAAAACCCAAAAAACCCACAAACCATTAACAGTGGCCGAGCATCGTGGCTCATACCTATAATCCCAACACTTTGGGAGGGGAGGCAGGTGGATCCCATGAGACCAGGAGGTTGAGATTACCCTGGCTGACATGACAAAAGCCCGTCTGTACTAAAAATATAAAATTTAGCTGGGTATTGGTAGCACAAGCTTATAATCTCAGCCACTCAGGAGGCTGAGACATGGGAATCACTCAAACCTGAAAGGCAGAGGTTACAGTGAGCACCATGGCACTCCATCCAGCCGAGGCAAAACACCAAGACTGTCTCAAAAAACAAACAAATAACCATTAACAAGACTGGGCTAAGAGTAACCTCTGTACTCTAATGAAGATCCAAAAAGCCAGTTTTCAACAATTGTATAATTAACCACTTAAGAATCTCAGGTATTTCAGAATATCTATTTATAATCTCAAACTGATATGCTAATTACATAACAATCCTGAGGCACTTTACTTAGCTAACTATGTAGTTTGTCTAGTCTAAGTTACCACGTTTTTTAGTTTCTTCACTTAAAAGTACTTTTGCTTCCTATTATAAAATCAACACAGGTACACTGTAAAAATTCAAAACTAAAAAATTAGTTTTTGGCCGGGTGCAGTGGCTCACGCCTATAATCCCAGCACTTTGGGAGGCCGAGGCAGGTGGATCACGAGGTCAAGAGATAGAGACCATCCTGGTCAACAAGGTGAAACCCCGTCTCTACTAAAAATAAAAAAATTAGCTGGGCATGGTGGTGCGTGTCTGTAGTCCCAGCTACTCGGGAGGCTGAGGCAGGAGAATTGCTTGAACCCAGGAGCCAGAGGTTGCGGTGAGCCGAGATCGCACCATTGCACTCCAGCCTGGGTAACAAGAGCAAAACTCCGTCTAAAAAAAAAAAAATTAAATTAAAAAATAAAAAATCAGTTTTTGAGACAGAGTCTCACCTCTGTGGCCCATGATGGAGTGTAGTGGTACAATCCTGACTCACTGCAACCGCTGCCTCCTGGGCTCAATAAATTTCTCCTGCCTCAGCCTCTTAAGTAGCTGGGATTACAGGTGCCTGTCACCATTCCTGGCTAATTTTTTGCATTTTCCAAAACTCCTGACCTCAGGCGATCTGCCCGCCTTGGCCTCCCAAAGTGCTGGGATTACAGGCATGAGTCACCATGCATGGCCTGAAAGTAAAAATTTTAAAGCCCAAATCTCACCACTCAGGGATAAGCAGAGTTTGTATATTCATATAAATGCTTTGGAAACGCATGTGACTATGTGTGCATACTTGTTATGTTTACAAAATGGAACTAAAAATCGTTCATATTATCTTAAACTTTCACATATTGTGACCATATTTCCATGACACTAATGGTATCCACAGTATGGATAAATAATCCCCTATTGTTTAACATTTAGGCATTACCTATTTTTTGCAACTATAAACAATGCTTCAACGCACATCCTTGTATATCCTTATATCCTTAGAAGAATTAAAATATCTTCTAATTCAGCTTTTCCAATAATTTAGAACTGTCTTGTTACTCCTAATTTCAAATAACATGGTGTTGATATTATAATTTTAATGAACATAACGTACTAATTCACCTTTTTATACAAAAAGTTCTTACCTTGCAATAATAGATTCAATTGGCATGATATCAGGCACATAGTGAGCCATGGGGGAAACAAAGTGTCCATCTAGGATCTTACAATCTGATTGCTCTTCAATCTAAAAAAAAATAAAAACCAAGGTGTATGCAAGAAAACTAAGATATCTTGGTCTATAATGGATGTTCTTCTAATAAAGAGTTATATTCAATTAAAATCATGTTTTCGGCACCTACTATGTAAACTTTTTGTGCCATTGTACTTTATTTTTAATTATTTTTAGTGCATAATCGTTGAATGTATTATGGGGTACATGTGATATTTTGGTATAGGTATAAAAGGTGTAATGATCAAATCAGGGTAACTAGAGTATCCATCACCTAAAGCAGTTATCATTTCTTTGTATTAGGAACATTCCAATTCCACTCTTATTTCAAAATAAACAATAAATTATTAATTATAGTGATACTATTATGCTACCACAGACTAGATTTTATTGATTCTAACTGTACTTTTGCACCCATTAATCATCTCCACTCTATCTTCCCCTCCCTGCTATTCTTCTTAACTTCTGATAATCATCAATCAACTCTTCATCTCCATGAGTTCAATTTACATTTAGCTCCCAAGTATGAGTGAAAACACCTGAAATTTGTCCTCCTGGCTTATTTCACTTAACACAATGTCCTTCAGTTCCATCCATGTTGTTGCAAATGACAGGATTTCATTCTTTATGGTTGAATAATATTTCATTGAATATTTGTACCACAAATTCTTTTTTTTTTTTTTTTTTTTTTGGTGGGGGAGGAAGGCAGGAAGGAAGGGAAGAAAGACGGTAGGGAGGAAGGAAGGAAGGGAGGAAGCAGGGAGGGAGGGAGGGAAGGGAAGAAAGGAAATCAAGCAATGAAAGAGACATTGCCGACCTGGATCTAGAGGTTTACAAGTTGATTTCTTTTTTTTTGAGAGAAGGAAAGAAAAAAAAAATAATAAGTAAAGGAGAGGAAGAAAGAGGAAGAGAAAGAGGGAGAGTAAATGGAAATATTGCTTTATTTTGAAAAAAATTGGGTATTAATAATGGCCAATCAATGTTTCATTTAAACTAATGGGTAGGTGTGATGTGGTATTGACAAGAATGTATATTTTGTGTATTTGAAGTGGAGAGCTCTATAAATATTTATTAAGTTTACTTGTTCTGGATCTGAGTTCGAGTCCTTGATATCCTTATTAATTTTCTGTCTCATTGAATCTAAGTCTCCTATCTGGGTGTTAGGATCGTTAGCTCTTGTTGTTGCATTGATCCTTTTACCACTATATCTTTGTTGCTTTAAAATCTATTTTATCCGATACAAGAATTGCAACTCCTGCTTTTTATTTATTTATTATTTATTTTTGCTCTCCATTTGGTTGGTAAATCTTTCTCCAACCCTTTGTTTTGAGTCTTGGTGTATCCTTGCATGTGAAACAGGTCTGGATGTAACATGCCGTTGGGTTTTGGCTGTGTCTTTTGATTGGGAATTTAGTCAATTTAAATTTAGGGTTACTGCCATTTGATGTTGACTGGCTGTTTTATCCATTTGTTGGTGTAAATTCTTCTTTATGTTGGTGCTCTTTACTTTTTGGTGTATTTTTAGAAAGGCTAATACTGGTTGTTTCTTTCTGTGTGTAATGCTTCTTTCAGAAGCTCTTGTAAAGCAGGCCTGGTGGTAATAAAATCTCTGAGTTCTTGCTTGTTCATAAAAGATTTTATTTTTCCTTCAGTTGTGAAGCTTAGTTTGGCTGGATATGAAATTCTGGGCTGAAGGTTCTGTTCTTTGAGGATGTTGAATATTGGCTCCCACTCTCTTCTGGCTTGTAGAGTTTCTGCAGAGAGATCTGCTGTAAGTCTGATAGGCTTGCCTTTGTGGGTTATCTGACCTTTCTCTCTGGCTACCCTTAGTATCCTCTCCTTCGTTTCAACCCTGGTGAATCTAACGATTATGTGCCTTGGGGTTGCTCTTCTTGAGGAATATCTTTGTGGTGTTCTCTGTATTACCTGGGGTTGAATGTTGACCTGCTTTGCTAGTTTAGGAAAATTTTCCTGAATAATATCCTGAAGGGTATTTTCCAGCTTGGATTCATTCTCTCCGTCGCATTCAGGTACACCTATCAAACGTAAATTTGGTCTTTTCACATAGTCCCACATTTCTTGGAGACTTTGCTCATTCCTTTTTATCCTTTTTTTCTCTAATCTTTTCTTCACGTTTTATTTCATTAAGTTGGACTTTGACCTCTGATATCCCTTCTTCTGCTTGAACAATTCGAGTGTTTAAACCTGTGCATACTTCTCGGAGTTCCTGTATTGTATTCTTCAGTTCCATTAATTCACTCATACTCCTTTCTAAGTTGTCTATTCTCAATAGGATTTCATCAAACCTTTTTTCAAAGTTCCTAGTTTCTTTACGTTGGGCTACAACATGTTCTTTTAACTCACCGAAGTTTGTTATTATCCATTCCTTGAAGAGTGATTCTGTCATCAGGAGGCGCTAGTTCTCCATCAAGCCTTGTTCCATTGTTGATGTGGAACTGTGATCATCTTTACAGGGAGAGGCTTTCTGACTTTGAGTATTCTCAGCTTTTTTACGCTGGTTTCTTCCCGTCATTGTAAATTTATCCTCCTGTCGTCTTTGAAGTTACCAACTTTCAGATTAGGTCCCTTGAGTGGACATCCAGGTTGTTAGTTCCCAGGGCCAGAGCAGCGGCGTTAAAACTGATGGTGCTTTTCTGCCCAGGATTCTCCTGTCGGGCTTCCTTCTTGTTTCCGTAGTAGGCGACTCTGCCTTCCCGGGGCTCCAAACCTCGGTCAGAAGGGGAACCGGTCCCGTTTACTCTGCGCAGAGCGCTGCCGAGCCAAGGTGCCGGTGGAACCGCTGCGCCGACCACTAGAGTCGCGCTGGCGACTCGTGTGTTTCCACCACTGGGGGATCTTCTGCTCCGTGAGCGACCAGACTTTGTCTGAAAGCGTGGCGTCCTCTAGTTCTCCGCGCCTTCCCTGAGAGCTGCAATCCCGGGATGTTAGCGATCGGCCATCTTTGATCGTTCTGTACCACAAATTCTTAATCCATTCATCTGCTGATGAACACTTAGGTTGATTCCACATCTTGGCTACTATGAATAGTGCTACAATAAACATGGGAATGCTGATATCTCTTTGATACGGCGATCTCCATTCTCTTACATATATACCCAATGAGGGATTGCTGGGTCATATGGTGGTTCCAGTTTCAGCTTTTGAGGAAGTTCCACTGTTCTCCACAGTGGTTGTACTAACTCACATTCCCACCAACAATGTATGAGGTTTCCTCTTTCTCCACATCCTCACCAGCATTCATTATTGCCTGTCTTTTGGATAAAGGTCATTTCAACTAGGGTAAGATGATAGATGATTTTAATTTTGATTTGCATTTCTCTGATGATTAGTGATGCTGAGCATTTTTTCATCTACCTGGTTGGCCATGTGTATGTCTTCTTTGGAAAAATGTAAAATGGCTAGTCAGATCTTATTAACCATTTTAAAATCAGATTGTGATTTTTTTCCCTATTATGTTATTTGAGCTTCTTATATATTCTGGTTCTTAATTCCCTGTCAGATGAGTAGTTTGCAAACATTTTCTCCATCTCAACAGAAAAGAGAGAGAGGGAAGGAAGGAGGGAGGGAGGGAAGAAAGGAAGGAAGGAAGGAAGGAAAAAAACAACAACAAAAAAAAACAAAAAACACGATTTGGAATTTCACTCTTGTTGCCCAGGCTGGAGTGCAATGGTGCCATCTCCACTCACCACAATCTCTGCCTCCAGGTTCAAGCCATTCTCCTACCTCAGCCTCCCAAGTAGCTGGGATTACAGGCATGCACCACCACGCCTGGCTAATTTTGTATTTTTTTTTTTTTTAGTAGAGATAGGGTTTCTCCATGTTGGTCAGGCTGGTCTTGAACTCCTGACCTTGGGTGATCCAGCTGCCTTGGCCTCCGAAAGTGCTGGGATTACAGGTGTGAGCCACTGTCCCTGGCCCACAAATAATATTCTTTAAATTTGAAATAAAAAATCCATACTGCACTTATATTTTAGTGTTTATTGTTGTTATACACCAACAGGTAATCTATTCTTGGACATATTTATGTCAAACCACAATTCCTATAACTGCGTTTCTCTCATTTGCATACCTTATCAATGTGTACTGGATAATCGCTTGAAACCAGATTCTGGCATCTCTCTCGATTTCCAATCATCTTTCTGAATTCAAAGAGTCTATTATGAGAAAGAAGACAAGGAAAAAAATTCATGTTTTATATCACTTACTAGGCATATTATAATTGAGATTAGCAGGAATTAAAAATTAGCAAATCCAGTTCATAAGCCATATTAAAATTTAATTTTGATCATTAAAGAAAGAGATTAGGTTGTGTTTCCCCCAAACTGGACTTTTTTTTTCTTCCAGAAAAATGTCAGGTACAATATTGTTCAGAAAGTAATTAATATATATAAACCTCAAAATTAAATGCACCAATCCTGAAATTCATTTTCTTTCTTTTTTTTTTCTCCCTGAGACAGAGCCTTGGTCTGTCACCCAGGCTAGAGTGCAGTGGTGCCATCTCAGCTCACTACAACCTCTGCCACCTGGGCTCAAGCAATTCTCCTGCCTCAACCTCCCGAGTAGGCATATGTCACTATGCTTGGCTAATTTTTGTATTTTTAGTAGAGACGAGGTTTCACCATGTTAGCCAGGCTGGTCTTGAACTCCTGACATCATGATCTGCCCACCTTGGCCTTCCAAAGTGCTGGGATTACAGGTATCAGCCACAGCTCCCGGCTGAAAATTCATTTTCTTAAGTCCAGATTTTCCCATGAGCTACAGTGTAATCCAGTTTTAGAGCCATTACAAATTCAGGTTATCCAAAAAGACTCAATCCTTGGAAACTACATACAACTCTAATCAGCTTAATAATTATTGAAGCCAAAAATCTAGTCTGTGTTTCTGAGAGCTCTCTATTTAAAAAATCTGAATTTTTTTTTAAAACAGTACAATTTACGATATGGGCTAAAATTTAAGAGAAATAACTAAAAAGACAAAAGAAAAAATAATTACATTTTACATAGTTTAATGTTTAATTTGCTGGATAACTGCTCTATATTTAAGAGCAAGGGATGTTATAACAAAGTTTTAAATGTTCATTAAAACAACAAATTTGGAACAAGTATTCAGGAAAGAAACTGCTTACCTTTTGAGATCTTCTGGCCTTCCCCATCCTCTGATAAAAAGTTTTGTTAGGAGAAGTCTCCGGTATAGAATGTCTAACTTGCTCACACCCATCAGTAGCAAACAAGCATCTATAAAACAAAATTTAAAATGGCTTTAAAATATTTTATTTTTTTCAGGGAAGCAGATCAATTTTCTAACCATTTCTTTGATTATCAGGTAAAATTAAATATTGAGACTAAATCCTTGAATTTCCTTTGGAAACAAAAAACAAGATTTGGGGGAAAAAAAGAGCTGGGTTGAAAATAGAGAAGACGTATAGTCTTGAACTTAACTAAACTGTGCATTCCTCTAGGGTAAGATCTTCCCATCGTCAGTACAGTTGCTGAAACAAGTACCCTCTATTTGCTGGATAACAATAGCAGGGGATATAATATGTGATAGTGTATTATCTGCCAGGCATCACTGTTTTAAGAACTCCGAACTCACACACAGGTCCTCCTTAAAGCAACCAACAATTTTGAGGAAGGATTTATTATCCCAATTATAGAGACAAGAAAACTGAGGCACAGAGAGTATAGATAATTTACCCAAGGTCACAAAGCTAGTGGGAAACACAGCTGAGAATCAATCTGAGGCACACAGCTCAAGATCTAACTATAACACTCCACTCTACTATATTACAGTGAATGAAAAATAATAATTGATCACTGCTACTACTTATATAGCACTTACCTATCTTCCCAAATATTTCTAAAGATTTTTAAGTATCTACCTCCATCTTGTCAAAATGAATGGTATGGTTTTGATTTATGGGCAAAACCTAATTCAGATTCAGGGTATACTCTATTTAAATAAATGAAAAATAAAACTCTGCATTTCCCTTTTTTTTCAATTGTTTTATTTTTTTCCTCAGATCTTAGGAAATCTGCATTTGCATCAATGAGCTTAAGAAATACCCATTGCTTCAGATTTTTTTTGAAACCATACCTTATATCATATATTTTAACTTTTTCATTTTTTAACAACCTGTAAGATCAACTTTATATTCCTCTGTGTTTGCCTAGGTATACAATGTAACCCCCCATCAACTGGGCGGCATTTAACTTGTTTTTACGGTTATACCAGCAAAACCAAGTCAATCATGTTGCCCCTCATAATTCTCACTACGAAGGACAAATATTTACTAGCAAATGTACTTGTTAGACAAGACAACCTATAGCCAGAGTATAGCATTAAGGGTTTTTTTAATACCATCCATCTCTCTTTTTCTCAGTTTCCATGTGCTATTCAATGACTCTTTGATAAAAGTCTGGTTTTAGTATAATAACGCTTGAAGAAATGTATTGCATATACAGTTTTGTTATTATACTATTTATGTCTACCACTATAAATAAATAAACGTTTACTAGACTCCTATAAATTATCACCCATCCAGTGTTAAGTGTAGTTCACCATAGCTGAACCATCCCTGGGTGGCTTCATAAGTTCCTGAACTTGTAAGAATATGTACCATTTCTTTCATTCTATACATATTTATTAATTGCTTATATTCCAATAATTACTTTAGACCCTGTGCCACAAGAATCATGAAGGCATGGTCTTGTTCTCATCAATCTTATATTTTAGTGGAGGGAAAATAATTAAAAATAAAAAACGGTCAAAATAAGAGTAGAAGATAACATAATGAAAATAAAACAAGGCAATGTGGTAACAACTAGAAGGCTCTTTTGGTAAACAAAAAAACATCCTCAGAGGTACCAAAAAGGTAATACAGATGCTCCTGAACCTACAATGGGATTCTATCCCAATAAACCCATCATAAATAAAAAATCATATGTGGAACATACATGTAATACCCTGACAAAGCTACGGTCAAAACAATCATAAGTCAAACCATCAAAAGTTAAGGACTGCACGTATTTAAGCCAAGTGCTACAAGACAAGGAGCACCAAAGTCTTTAAATTGCAAATCTCATTAAAATCATGTAACTCTTGAAATCTATCCATTACTATGTTCCAATGAAATTCACTGAAAATTATCTACTCAGTGGGTCAAGTACAGGTACAGATAATTCATATAAGGGAAAGGCAAGAAAAAATAACTACATACACTTCTTCTTCTTTTTTGAGACAGAGTTTTGCTGTTGTTACCCAGACTGGAGTGCAATGGCACGATCTCGGCTCACCGCAACCTCCGCCTTCTGGGTTCATGCAATTCTTCTGCCTCAGCCTCCCAGCGCTCCTGGGACTACAGGCGCGCACTACCATACCAAGCTAATTTTTGTATTTTTAGTAGAGATGGGGTTTCACCATGTTGACCAGGATGGTCTCGATCTCTTGACCTCATGATCCACCCGCCTCAGCCTCCCAAAGTGCTGGGATTACAGGCTTGAGCCGCGCCCGGCTCTTCTTTGTTTTTAAATTCAAAAATGCTCACTGTAAAATCTTTAAATTCAATACAAAGGGATGTATAGCAAAAACAGGGAAAATAATCCCCTTCCAATCACTTTTTTTGAGATGGAGTCTCGCTCTGTTAATTAGGCTGGAGTGCAGTGGTGTGATCTCGGCTCACTACAACCTCTGCCTCCTCGGTTCAAGCAATTCTCCCGTCTCAGCTTCCCAAATAGCAGGGACTATAGGTACTTGCCACCACGCCTGGACAATTTTTGTGTTTTTAGTAGAGATGGGTTTCACTATATTGGCCAGACTGGTCTTAAACTACTGACCTCAGGTGATCCATCCGCATTGACCTCTCAAAGTCCTGGGATTACATAAGAGAGCCACTGCACCTGGCCCCCTTCTACTCACTTCTAATTTTACTTTTCAGGCATATCTAGTGCTAACAGTATAGATGCTACTCTTTCTGACCTTTTTCTTGTTGATGTTATTTACTTACCTACACACAATCTTGCTCTGTTTTGTGTTGCTATAATAGAATAACACAAGCTGGGTAATTTATAAAGAAGAGAAATTTACTTCTTAAAATTCTGAAGGCTGGAAGTCCAGGGTTGAGGGGTAAACATTTGGTGAGGACCTTCTTGCTGTATCATAACATGTGGAAGGTATCACATGATGAGAGAGCAACAGAGAATTAAACTCACTTTTTTTTTTTTTTGATAGAGTCTCTCTCTGTAGCCCATGCTGGAGTGCAGTGGCATGATCTAGGCTCACTGCAACCTCTGCCTGCTGGATTCAAGCGATTTTCCTGCCTCAGCCTCCGGAGTACCTGAGACTACACGTGCATGCCACCACACCCAGCTAACTTTTTGTATTTTTAGTAGAAACGGAGTTTCACTGTTTTAGCCAGGATGGTCTTGACCTCTGCACCTCGTGATGTGCCAGCCTTGGCCTCCCAAAATGCTGGGATTACAGGCATGAGCCACTGCATCTGGCCTGAACTTTTATAGCAAGCCCACTCTCTAGATAACTAATTCACTTCCAAAATAATACCATTAATCCATCCATGAGGATAGAGCCCTCATAACCTAATCACTTCTTATTAGGACCCACTTCCCAACACTGTTGTATTGGAGATTATGTTCCAACATGTGAACTATGAGGGACACATTTAAGCCATTGTACATTCTTTCCAAAAAAAATTATAAAAGTACGACAAGCATGGTGGCTCACACCTGTAATCCCAGCACTTTGGGAGGCCAGGTGGGTGGATCACGAGGTCAAGAGATCAAGACCATCCTGGCCAACATGGTGAAATCCTGTCTCTACTGAAAACACAAAAAAGTAGCTGGGTGTGGTGGAGCATGCCTATAGTCCCAGCTGCTCGGCAGGCTGAGGCAGTAGAATTGCTTGAACCTGGGAGGTAGCGGCTGCAGTGAGCCAAGATGGTGCCACTGCACTCCAGCCTGGTGACAGAGCAAGACTCTGTCTTGGGGGGTGGGGGTAGATGGAGGGGAAGGAAGGAATGGAGGAAAGGAAGAAGTGATGAAGAGAAGCTTCTCCACTTTACTCTGTATATTTTTATGTTTTCTTAGTTCTGCCAAAAACATATTACATTACTTTTGTACACTGAACACTCTATTAAATAAATACATTGCCAATGGTATATTTTATAAATCATGATGTAAACTGTATAAAAGTAATTGTCGAATTTTAAACATAAAAACGAGAGCTGTAGTTGTAGAACTATTTGAAAAATATTTAAAACAGAATGTAGATTTTATAACCTAATCCAAGTTTATAAAATATTTCTAGATTTTAAAAAATTTTATTGTTGAAAATTTTTGTGGGTACACAGTAGCTGAATGTATTAATAGATTTCTAGATTTAAAAAATAGGAATTAGAAAGCAGTAGAGAGAAAATGTTTCTGGAAAAATGGTTACTAAAGAGAAGAAAAATACTCCATTTTATAATGACCTCCAATGAGAAAAATGAATTTAATATTTTAAATAACTAAATTTGAATACTTTTACAGTTTATTGAGTTCTACTGATGTGACAAGATGGATTTGTTGATTATATAAACATTTAAGCATACAGAATGCATGTAAATATAATTTTTAAAATTAATGGAATGGTAGAAACTTTTTGCTATAAATCTGATAAAGACTTAAAATCCTGATTCTATAGTAGGTATAGCACTTAAATTTTCAAAGAGCTGTTTAAGTGCCTTATATATTCTAATTTAAATCACATACCAATTATTTGAGGTAAGCATTGTGAATATCCCTAGTTTACAGATGAATTACAAAAAGCTAAGTGACTTGTTGAAAGTCTTATAGTAAGAATTCGACCCAAATTGGCTTGAGTCTGTTCTCTTAGCTATTGTGATATATTACATGTTAAACACAGATACTCCTCAGCTTACAATATGGTTACATCCTGATAAACCCCATTGTAAACACACTTAAAACTCCAATGAACCCGCTGTAAGGTTGAAAAATTGTAACTTGAACCACTGTAAGTCTAAATGTTCCTCAGATTATGATGAGGTTATATTCTATAAATTCAGCATAAGGTTGAAACATCAACTTTAGAGTAAGTATGTAAGTCAAACTATTTACTCAAAGTAAATGTAAAACAGTTAAATGTGAACAATTAACCTACAGAATCAATAAAAACTAAAACCAAGCATTTATCATAATATAAATAACCTAAATTTACCTATTAAAATAAAAAGTTGAGGTGGATCTGTATTCACCGAATTTGAAAGAGCTTGCAGATGTTTATAAATAAGAGGAGGAAGAGCACTGAACAAATAATTAGCAGTTACTCTCTTCCATGTTTAAAAAACACCAAAAAAAAATGTCTACATGTATAAATGGATAGAACAAGGTATTAAAATATAACAATGGTGGCTGGGTTCAGTGGCTCACGCCTGTAATTTCAGCACTCTGGGGGGCCAAGGCGGGCAGATCACGAGGTCAGGAGTTCAAGACCAGCCTGGCCAACACGGTGAAACCCTGTTTCTACTAAAAATACAAAATTAGCTGAACCTGGTGGTGGGTACCTGTAATCCCAGCTACTCAGGAGGCTGAAGCAAGAGAATTGCTTGAACTTGGGAGGCGGAGGTTGCAGTGAGCTGAGGTTGAACCATTACACTCCAGCCTGGGCGACAGTGTGAGGCTACATCTCAAAAAAAAAAAAAAAAAAAAAATTTATTTTAAATGTTTCTTCTGTCCTACAAGTTTTATATTAGAATTGCATTCCAGGAACAAATGCATCTAATATTTAGCAGAGACTTATTCATTTGCAATAGAATATGCATCTTTCTACTATACTATGCCACTCCTCTAATTTCTTCAAAGTTAAGCCTATCAGAAACCAAAGGTGAAAAATCATGAAGTGAGAAAGTGCTATGCATGTTACTACCTTTATAGGATTAAGCTTTTCAACCTGTACTATCCTAAATATTTTTATAATTCTGTCTTTAAAACAGATTTTTAAATTGTTTTTTTAAACAGATTTCTGATTATATTTGAATAACCTTTTTCCAAAACAATCTTAATAGTATACCTAATTGGGAGAAAATATTGATTTTTAAGGTGCAAAAAAACTAAAGAATATTTTTAAAACAACTTATACTAAGTATATCTAATGACTGGTAGGCTACCCATTAGAATTTCTCATGGAAAAATAATAGAGACGATATAAACATAAAATTTTAGTTTCCATTTTAATATGTTTCCAAATAGTATCTGAAAAGAATGCTATAAAAAGACTAGAAGAGTGACTCCACAAAGTTTTTCCACAAAGAGCTGGATAGTACATATGATAGGGCTTGCAGGACAAGAGGCAAAATGAAAGATATTATGTAGGTATTTTAGATAACAAGAGTCACGTGTTTTTCATTGAGGAAATTCAAATTGTCATAAAAATAAGTGTAATTTTTTGTAATGTAGAATAAATGAGAAGAACAAACCTTTTTCTTGGGAGTTTGCTTAATTGAGATTCAAAGTTAGTACTCCATAATGAAACGACAAATGTTCACCTGTAAAATCTATTCTTAACTTGAAAGTCATAGAAAAACAGGCAGGTTGACCAATAAGCCATAGCTTGCTGACCCCTGGGTTAGAAAAATCAAATAAAGCATAGGTATGACACAAATATAACACCAATGTCATAAATGTAAAGATAAAACTATAAATCACTATATTACAATTACAGGCCAGACATGGTGGCTCACGCCTATAATCCCAACACTTTGGGAGGCTGACGCAGATGGATCACTTGAGGTAAGGAGTTCAAGACCAGCCTGGCCAACATGACAAAACGCCATCTCTACTAAAAATACAAAAATTAGCTGGGTGTGGAGGCACATGTCTTATAATCCTAGCTACTTGGGAGGCTGAGGCAGGAGAATCACTTGAACCTGGGAAACAGAGGTTGCAGTGAGCCAAGATTACACTCCACTGCACTCCAGCCTGGGTGACAGAATAAGATTTCGTCTTAAAATAAAATAAGTCAGGCATGGTGGCTCAAGCTTGTAATCCCAGCACTTTGGGAGGCCGAGGCAGATGGATCACCTGAGGTCGGGAGTTCAAGACTAATCTGACCAACATGGAAAAGCTCGGTCTCTACTGAAAAGGTGAGGTGGCACATGCCTGTAATTCCAACTACTTGGGAGATTGAGGCAGGAGAATCGCTTGAACCCAGGAGGTGGAAGTAGCGGTGAGCTGAGATCATGCCGTCGCACTCCAGCCTGGGCAATAAGAACAAAACTCCATCTCAAAAAAATAAAATAAAATAAAAAATTATCCCAACCCTATAAAATGGGCATACATAAACTGCAAATATTTATTTATTTTTCAATGTTTTCATAAGGCATACAAATATTTATTTTAAGGAAATTCTATAAAGTAGACCTAAAATTAATATTCTATTTAAAGTAAACACTAGTTATTTAATCAGTCATGCTTTGTTTGCCTCCTTAAAATTTAGAATTTGGTAACTAGAAGGCAGAAGCTTCTTCACTTCCTGTGTAATAAATACATAAAAGGTGGAAGCTCTTAGTGTCCATCAACAGATGAATGGATAAGCAAAGTAAGTACATACAAACAATCACAAACACACACACAATAGGAATATACTCAGTCATACAAAGGAGGAACTTCTGGCACATGATACAACATGGATGAACTCAGAGGACATTACACTAATGAAATAAGCCAGTCACAAAAAGCCAAATATTGTATGATTCCATTTAAAGAAGATACCTAGAGTAGTCAGATTCATAGAAGCAGAAAGCAGAAGGATGATGGCTCAGACTGCGGGAAAGGAAAAGGGGTTACTGTTTAATGGGTAAAGAGTTTCAGTTTGGCAAGATGGATGGTGGTGACAGTCGCACAATATAAATGTACTTACCTTTGAACTACAGAGTTAAAATTATTAAGATGGTAAATTTTGTTAGTGTATTTTATCACAAGAAAATAAAACAAAATCAAATACAAAATAGAATTTGGGGTTAATTTGGTGGTCTCCAAATAAAATTTCTGGGAGAAGTAAATTGATGCTTTCTCTTCCTTTTGACAACTTTGTCAGTAAGCAAAAGTAGTTCACTATTCTTTTATTTATTTATTGTTTTGAGATGGAGTTTTTGCTCTTGTTGCCCAGGCTGGAGTGCAATGGCATGATCTCGGCTCACTGCAACCTCCGTCTCCTGGGTTCAAGCAATTCTCCTGCCTCGGCCTCCCAAGTAGCTGGGATTACAGCATCAGTTACCACGCCCAGCTAATTTTTGTATTTTTGGTAGAGAAAGGGGTTTCATTGTGTTGGTCAGGCTGGTCTCAAACTCCTGACCTCAGGTGATCCACTGCTTCAGCCAGAAGTAGTTCACCATCCTATTTATCTCAGAATAGAACTTGCCAGATGCCATGGCTCACACCTGTAATCCCTGCACTTTGGGAGGGTGAGCCGGGTGAACTGATTGAGCTCAGGAGTTCAAGACAAGCCTACGCAACATGGTGAAATCCCGTCTCTACAATAAACACAAAAAATTAGCCAGGTGTGGTGGCACATGCCTGTGGTCCCAGATACTTGGGAGTCTGAGGTGAGAGGATTGCTTGAATTCAGCAGGCAGAGGCTACAGTGAGCCAAGATCACATCACTGCACTCCAGGCCTGGGTGACAAGAGTGAGACACCATCCCACACAAAAATAATAAATAGGTGCAGTGGTCAGTGGTGTGTGCCTGTAGTCCCAGCTACTCAGAAGGCTGAGGTGGGAGGGTCGCTTGAGCCTGGGAGAGCAAGGTGGCAGTGAGCTATGATCATGCTATTTCACTCCAGTCTGGACAACAAAGTGAGACTCCGTTTAAAAACAACAATAACAACAACAGAACTTAAGGTTAATATTATTCTCTTCAAAAAAGATAACCGCATAATTTAAATAGTTGGAAGCTTTTAATAAGGAAGCCCTTTAAAGAAAAGAATCTGAGGAATAAATCTTTTGTATCTAGTTTGTTTCCTCCATCTTCTTCCCTTTTCCTTGGAGATTACCTTCCAAGAACCCAGCTTAGCTGCGTTTTCTGCTTCAGGATCTCATTTGGCTTCAATCAAGGCGTCAGCAGGGTTGCATTTTCATTTGTAGGCTTGAAAAAACAAGAACGCACTTCTAAAGCTTACTCAGGTTGAAGGCAGATTTCTTTTTTTTTTGTGGCTTTGGGACTGTGAGCTTCAATTTTTTTTTTTTTTTTTTTTTTGCTGTTTGTCAGTCAGAGGCCAGCCTCTGCTCTTGGAGGCTACCCGCAGCTCCCTGTCACATGGCTCTCTTCATAAGAGTTCACAACATGGCAGCTTACTTCTTCAAGGCCAGCAGGAAAGTAAGTGTGAGCCACAGGAGTCATACCTTTGCCATGTAACATAATGTAATCATGGGAATGACAACCAATCACCTTTGCCATATGGCTATTGGTTAGAAAGAAAATCATGGATTCTGACAAAACTCAAGGAAGGAGATTACACAAAAATATAAACATCACAACTGGGAGAAACCAACTGTACTTCTTAGCCTTTGAGTAGAGTATCTGGGCTGACACCCTCAATACCAGATGTTACTTACTTTCTTTACATTTTCCTACCGGTAGGTGGGAAAGAACCCCCAAACTCCACAGACTTGAATAAACATTTGTTTATAAGCAAATGATCTTTTTAAATCAGCAAGGCATGGTAGCTCACATCTGTAATCCCAGCAGTTTGGGAGGCTGAGGAGGGAGGATCACTTGAGTCAAGGAGTTTGAGACCAGCCTGGGCCACATGGAGAAACCCTGTCTCTGCGAAAAATACAAAACTCACTCAGGTGTGGTGGTGTGCACCTGGGTAGTCCCACCTACTTGGGAGGCTGAGGCAGGAGGATTGCTTGAGCCTAGGAGGCAGGGGTTGCAGCGGGCCAGGATCACACCACTGCACTCTAGCCTGGGTGACAGAGGGTCAGGATGGAACGGGAGCAGATGAAAAGGGAGGGAGGATTGGGGAGGGGATAAGAGATTGTCTAAATCTTGTTTATGTATTTTCACTCACTTAATACTCTTGTCAGAAACAAACAAAAAAACCCAAAACAAAGTAAAAACACTTGCCTCTTAAAATTTTGTTTTTTAATCATGAAACAAATGGTAAAAGACAAACTAACTTCTGAAATGTTGTCTTCATTATATATATATATATTTTCTACTTTAGTGCAATTATGACAATCACGTAAGTGTATGTAGTATATATTTAAATTGTTTGACTAGTCTTTTTCTTGTAGAGTACATGTCAGTGTAGAATAATAGAGTATATCTGGGCCAGGTGCGGTGTGGCTCATGCCTGTAATCACTGCACTTTGGGAAGCCAAGGTGGGTGGTTCACTTGAGGTCAAGAGTTCAAAACCAGCCTGGCCAACCAATATGGTGAAACCGGGTCTCTACTAAAAATACACAAAAATTAGCCAGGTGTGGTGGTGGGCCTGTGATCCCATCTACTTGGGAGGCTGAGGCAGGAGAATTGCTTAAATCTGGGAGGTGGAAGTTACAGTGAACCGATGTAGTGCCACTACATGCCAACCTGGGCAACAGATATCTGGTATTTGGCCTCAGTTCCTGGCATGAAGTTCCTAAAACCCTTGGTATTTCTGAAGTGATGAGTGTCTTTTTTATGCTAAATAGGCAATTCATTGTGGGCCCACCGAAGGCTTTAGAATCAGGGCTAGCCACCAGAAAGGCCAACTAAATGAACAGAGGGTTAGAACTTTAGGCCCCTCTGACCTCCAGAGAGAAGGGAGCTGGAAAGTGAGTTTAATCACATGGCCAAAGACCAACTCCAATAAAAACTCTGGACACTAAACCTTGGTGGAGCTTTCTGGTTGATGAACACCTTGGTGTGTCAGAAAGGAGATACTCCCTGACTCCATAGGAAGAGGCCAGGCAGTTCCACATTCATTCTTATACCTCTCCTCATGTTTCTCTTCATTGGGCTGCTCCTGAGTTGTATTCTTTATAATAAACCTGTAATCATAAATATAGCTGTTTCCTGAGTTCCGAGTCATTCTAACAAATTATAAACCAACAGGGCTCTCAGGAACTCCTAAATTTTTAGCCAAGTTGATTAGCGGGATGAAGAACTGAGCCCTTAACTTGTGGAGTCTGCGTTAACTCTGGGTGGTTAGTGTCAGAATTGGGAACTGAAGTACACCCAGTTGGGTTAGAAATGGAATAGATTATTCTTTACCAAAATTCTGACTAGTGTTACATATTCCAAATAATATGCCAACTCTTTGGATATACTGGGGGAGGGGAGGTTCTATGGCTTGAGGAAATATAATTCTAGGTGATATTAATTTTAATTATTTTATTCCCTAGGTCTTTCTGGAATTGTTAAAATACACAGCATCAATACATCTTTTGCATACATTTATTAAAGTGTAGTAGAACAGTGGCATACCATATTGTGTAAGTCTTGTCTTTTTTTTTTTTTTTTGAGACAGGGTCTTGCTCTGTTGCCCAGGCTTCAGTGTGACTGGGGCAATCACGGCTCACTACAGCCTCAACCTCCTAGGCTCAAGTAATCGACTCAGTGCAGCCTCCAGAGTAGCTGGGACCACAGGCACAGGTCACCTTCCTTGCCTGGATAATTTCTTTCTTTCTTTTTTTGAAAGGGAGTCTGGCTCTTGTCACCCAGGCTGGACTGCAATGGCATGATCTTGGATAACTGCAACCTCTGCCTCGCAGGTTCAAGCAATTCTCCTGCCTCAGCCTCCCACGTAGCTGGGATTATAGGCATGCACCACCACACCCAGGTAATTTTTGTAGTTTTAGTAGAGATGGGGTTTTACCAGGTTGGCCAGGCTGGTCTTGAACTCCTGACCTCAGGTGATTCATCCGCCTTGGCCTCCCAAAGTGCTGGGATTACAGGTATGAGGCACCATGCCTGGCCTAATCTATTTTTTGTACAGATGAGGGTCTTGCTATGTTGACCAGGCTGGTCTTGAACTCCCAAGCTCAAGCAATCATCCCACCTCAGTCTCTCAAAGTGCTGAGATTACAGGCAGGAGCAACTGCACCCAGCTAAGATTTCACTGCCTTTTGCAATGTATTATAGGCCACTTCTCACTTCTTTTTTCTTTCTTTTTTTTTTTTTTTTTTTTTGAGATGAAATTTTGCTCTTGTTGCTCAGGGTAAGAGTGCAATGGCACAACCTTGGCTCACTGCAACCTCTGCCTCCAGGGTTCAAGCAATTCTCCTGCCTCAGCCTCCTAAGTAGCTGGGATTACAGGCATGTGCCACCACACCCAGCTAATTTTGTATTTTCAGTAGAGATGAGATTTCTCCATGTTGGTCAGGCTAGCCTCGAACTCCTTACCTCCAATGATCCCAAAGTGAACCCAGATCGGCCTCCCAAAGTGCTGAGATCACAGGTGTGAGTCACCGCACCCGGCCTACTTATTTTCTTAACCGTGGCAGAAAATGAACCAGGGACATCATCTTCCTTTCTAATATCCATGGCATCAATAACAATAAATGGAATCCATGACAGTAAAATAAAATTAAAAATCCTTGCTAGGCTGGGTGTGGTGGCTCACATCTGTAATCCTAGCACTTTGGGAGGCTGAGGAGGGAGGACTGTTAGAGCTCAGGAGTTTGAAACCAGCCTGGGCAACATAGTGAGACCCAGTCTCTTAAAAGAAAAAAAACAATCCGTGGCAGGTACAGTGGCTCATGCCTATAATCCCAGCACTTTGGGAGGCCAAGGCGGGAAGATCAATTGAGCCCAGGAGCGCAAGACAAATCCTGGCAACACAGTGAGACCCTGTCTCTACAAAAAAATTTCGAAATCTAGCCAGGTGTGGTGGTGCAGGTAGCCTCAGCTACTTGGGAGGCTGAGGTGTGAGGATTGTGTAAGCCTGGGAAGTTGAGGCAACAGTGAGCATGGTTGCACCATTGCACTCCAGCATGCTTAACAGAGCAAGATCCTGTCTCCAAAAAAAAAAAAAAATCCAACACTTATATTTTACAGTAAGAAGAAAAGGAATATACTGCTCATGAGATACTTTTTTCCTAAACTGATATTCTTCTAGGTCAGTAGATAAAACGAAGGTAAGACAAAAATATAGAATTAGAAAGTTGCAAAGGAAGCAAGAAAGGGCCTAAGAACAATGAACGTTTCAAATATTTTGTGTAAAGTACTATATTTATTGTTTGTTTAAATTGTTTACTTATTTCTAGTTTTCAATCCAAACTAGAAAGCCTTCCCAGTGGCTCATGCCTGTAAACCCAGCACTTTGCAAGGCTGAGGTGGGCAGATCACCTGAGGTCAGGAGTTCGAGACCAACCTGGCCAACATGGTGAAACCATGTCTCTACTAAAAATATAAAAATCAGTCAGGTGTGGTCGTGTGCCTGTAATCCCAGCTACTTGGGAGCTGAGGCAGGAGAATCTCTTGAACCCGGGAGGTGGAGGCTGCAGCGAGCTGATATTGTACCATTGCATCTCAGCTTGGGCAATAAGAGCAAAACTTGGTCTCAAAAAAAAAAAAAAAAAAAACAAAGAAAAAAGAAAATCTTCTCAAATTACTTTAATTTCCTGTGTAATAGGCCACAAAAGTCAGCACTCCAAGCCAAGACACAGCATATTCCTTACTATATTTACCTGCTAGTAAACAACTAATAAATGAGAAACAGAAAGTAAATCAAACACACATATAGGTTAGTATAAATTTGGTTCTGAGACTTGGGGTTCTACAAATCTTCTTAAATCCCATTCGCCTCCAAAAACAACATAAAAAACTCAGTTTTTGTGGAACTCTCTAAACATGTAGGTCTTTCTAGACAGGGCTGGCTGGGTCCAGGGTATCCAGTGCCACCACGAACAGATAAAAATCCAAGTCCAGGGTGAACATAATTCCAAATGAGGCACCATCTGGAGCCATGCCAGCTACTTAAACGTCCCAACTTCAGGATGGACAGACAATAATGAGCTTCTTCAGAAACAGAACCCATTTTTTGAAGTATGTATCAAGCCAAAATGACACAATTATCAATGGGAAAGAGAAAAACAAGTGAAACAAAAATAGAAGTTCTAATACAGTGCCAAGAAATAAAAAGTCTTTCCTAGATATGAGCCCTATTGCTAAAGAGATACTCATCATTTATTATGCTATCTAGTACTTTTATTTCCTGTCATTCTAGTACCTAACTATTTAACAATGCAACACTAATTCTTTTCTGGATTTTCATCCTTACATTAGTGATATATATATCTCAAAGGCATAAATTAAAATTAAAATTAAAATACCACCATGTACAAGAATATAGTCCCCTACCTAAAAAAAAAGACAGTTTTATCTTATAAAGTTTACTTCTAAATAATGTCTGTACAAGTTTAAGTAGCTAAAAAAGGGTTTCGATACCTCAGATATCCACTGTTAAAATCTACTTTCCTAGCTTCACAAATATAATTCAATAAATAGAATTCCTTTTAATCTTACACTACACAAGAGTAGGAAAATACGAAGTTTGTTTGTTTGAAAGGGGTGTGGGTATATATTCTGGCCAGTCACCTAAGGAAATCCACCAAATGGACTGCCTCATATTCTTGAGTGAAACATTTGGGAAATAATCTAATCTCTTCAAATTTAGCTCCTCTTTTCCATGGGTTTTATAAAAATATATAGTTTTGTTTTTAAATGTTTGTTTGGATGAAACAGTTTTTTCCTTTTTTTTTTTCCCTACTGGTATAATACTCTAAGCTTACTTAGATTTCACCAGCTGTACATGTACTCATTCCACATGCTTTTATGGACTGAAGTCATCACTTGGAGGCAACAATGGAAAAGAGCAGTGTTGGAGGACTGGGATTGCTCTACTAGCTGTATGACCTTGAGTAAGCCACCTTAACCTATAAACAGGAAGTAATACCTGCCCTAATACAGGATAGCCAATCATTTCACTTAGATAAAAACTGAATATCTATTATATATTTTTATGAGATACGAAGAAAGATTCTTCTTGCCGTTTTGCCATTGTTTTCCATAAGAAGCCTGGTGGTAAAGAGCACGGGCTTTAGAATCAGGAGTCCTGTTTCTTGAATTCTAGCTCTGTTGCTTGTTAGTTGTATGA